AGAGAATTCAATAAACATTTATTTGCTTAAATAAGAATTTTTAATTCTCCTTATTTATGTTAAAAAAAAATAGGGTATAAAATAGAATATGATCATTGGATTCTTCAAGGATCATGTTGGTTCACTTTTCAAATCAATATGTCTCCCTTATGCATGAGTTACGAGAAATTTGATATGGGATAATATTTAAAGGAACAATCAAGATTCTAGGCATGGAAAACTTAATCAAAACGAGAGAGAATATGGTGTGTATATAATTTCTCCTGTCTCAAAAAACGTAAGAAAGTTATGATATCTTTCTGAATTCAAAAAACAAATGTCTTTGGATAAGACAGTTAAAGGTTGGATAAACACGTGTATTTACAGTGAACCCCTTGAAGATTCAACAATTTCTATTAAGGTTTTTCTAGTAAATTTGCATTTTTTTTTCTAACCCACTGACCGCAGTCGTCAAGGGGCACTACCCCTTGGAACCCCACAAGGGGGCGCGACCCCCTTGACCCCCACTCTTGTGCTCGCACCGGGATCAATCTAGATTAATACAAGTGTACACTCCGCACGCCCAACCTTGTATTAAAACTATGATATAATCCCCTTTGAAACATATATAAATTTTATTACATAAAATGAATTGGTGATATTAAAATCACCAACAATTTATTTGTAACTCCTTAGAAGATTACTAATTACCTTTTTACGTTTTATTGTAACCTAAAAAACCCTATATAAAATATTTTGACCGTTTAATTATTCACTTTAAGGATCTTCTCTAGAAAAGAAAAACTAAACTGTTTGTCTCTCTCACATTCTAAGCCCTTCGATTTTTTTTTTAATTTTTTTAATTTTTTTTGTTTATATATTCTTCTTCTATCTTGTCTTCGTCTCTCTCAATTTTATTTCCGTTAATTTGTATAGGTTTATGCTTTTATCAAAACATTTATAAAAAGGACAATTATATCTATCTTGGTAATTAGAATAATGTATGTGTTCAATTCATGACTATTAGAACATTATATAGACTACTATAAAAATATAATACATCTGTAAAACAAATATAATTTAATGCTATAAAAACATTATTATAAATGACAAAGAAAGTTGCAAAACAAATATAATTTAATGTTATTGATATTAATTTTCTATAAAAAAAATAGTATTATAAATAACAAAGGATAAATTATATTAAAAATTTGAAAAAGTCACTGATAGATTTTCTTTTTGGTTATTTTACACGTATAAATAGAATTTGCCAAATAGTAAAAAAAACTTATCAATTTATTATGTTTTAATACCTCGTAAGCCGATTCAAAATCTTTAAACTTATCAATTTATTATGTTTTGATACCACAAAGGCCAATTCAAAAACTTTTCATAAAACTTTGTTTTATTACTGAAAAAGCTAATAAACATTTTTATAAAAAACAAATATTTTTTGTTTGTTGCAAAAATAGAGGTTTGTTAGATCTAATGTGCAAAAAATAAGAAAGTACCGCACTGCGAAATTATAACTTTTTGATTAAAACACTAAAAATAAATGATTATTTATTATTTATAAAATAAAAAGAAATTTAATAAATTTATTCTTTATTAATATAAAATAGTTTATTAATTAGACACAATTAATTAATTAAGATAAGTAATTACAGGTTATGTGCTTATTAACTTAATGGCTTGAAAGTCTTTACAAAAACTCAACCACTAGTATTAATTTATATAAAAGACAATAACTTTATGATAACATTCAATACAAAAAATCTTAAATTGCTTCCTCCCTTTCTCCTTTACTTGTGTCGCCTCTTTTCACCCTTGGTGTGATCGACGGGAAAGGAAGAACACAAGAAGGTGGTGAATGTTTTTTTGGTGATTGGAAGTTTAGACGAATTCTCGTCTCCTATGTGTGGATATAAATAAAGGTGACGTGTTTAAACTATAATCGTATACATAAAAGGAATCCTACAACTTGAAGTAAAAGTTCTAAGCATCATATGGTTGGATGTTCTTGGTTAATTGACTAGATCCTATTAGATCCGACTTTGAAGTACATTTTAATATGGTTTCTCCAATGCGTTTTTATTGTTGCACTAAACTAGTTATATGAATAAATTGTATTAATTTTAAAAGAAAAAAAACGAACAAAATTGTTGGAGACACAATGGTGTTAACTACATGTTAAAAGAGCTCAAATGAGGTTATAATGTTGAGATGCATAAACAAATTTGATAGAAATTCAATGTAGTTGACCTATGAGTAATTTTCATATAAAATTTGTTGACAAACAAGTCAATTTGGGGATGATTTGGAACTAGGTAAAGAACACGTTTCTTGGGTCTTTAATAAATGAAAAAGATGATTATGTTATGAGATAATTTTTTAGTTGAATGATCTTCTACATATTGATTTGGAAAACAAATGAATCATGTGAGATGATGTTTGAATATATAATTACTGGCCTTATGTTATGTTAAAGCTATGTTTGACAAATTAGTTCAAAATTAATTTTTAACTTGTAAGTTAGTTTGAAATATCTTATTAGTTTGAAATATCTTATTAATGAGTTACTTTTAGTGTTTTAACAAAGGCTAAGTTATTATAATGTAGCTTATTTTTGTGGACGAAATAAATATAATAGCCTCTAAGTGGGACAAATAGATCATGGGAATAAATTACAATAAAAGAAGTACCAAAAAGAAAAAGTTGGGTAAAGTTGTGGGGTAAAGATGACGCATAATGAAAACATAAAGCATATTAATGTCAATTGTCAAAGTGATAGTACCATCCGGAAATTAGGACAAACGTACCTTCCTCACATATTTGCTCCACCGAATAAAACTCGCCTAAGTTTCGATAGCGATTTTTTGTGTTTCCCAAAATAACCCCGTCAACTATTGCCGTCGCTTTCTGTCCTTGCGCGTACGGCTGTTATACTTTCTCCTCAAATGACCTTATTACCCTCGAGTCAATTATCTAGAGTATTAAAAGGTAGGTACGCTAAGGGACAAAGATAAAAGAAAATCATCAACAAAAGTTTTTTTTATTTTTTTTCCTTCTTCTTCTAAATTTAATGGCTAGTGAGAAAAATATTGACATATCTTTAATAATTATAATTACATTAATTTAGTAATGTGAGATATTTTTATAACTAGATTTAAAACATAACAATATAAATTTTGGAACTTTCACATCGAATCTAATTAAAATAAACTTAAACAAGAAGAGCAAAGATTATATATATATATATATATATATATATATATATATATATATATATATATATATATATATATATATATATATAGGTAAGTTCAATTGAGAAAATAAAAAATGTTGAATGGGGGAATCGTTCTCAGCCACTCATTTATTTTTGCCGCAAAAGCCTTTGTTGTACCAGCGGAAAATGGATAAGGAATACACATGTGTTTTCAACAAAATATGTTTCCTTAAACTATGCTAATCATTACCTTAATATATACAAAAACATAGTTTTTTTTGTTTTTTTTAATTTTTAAGAAGCTATTTATATCGAAAAATGATTTTAAATATACCAAAATTTATGATTTTTTATTCTCTACAAATAGACATCCATATTGATATACTTTTAAGCTAAAATAAAAAATTTATTTTTTTTATATTTTCAGCTATCGTTATTCATAAGTGAATAAAAATGCATCAGATTTTTGCTACAATACATTCGTTATTCACTTATGAATAAAAATATATAATTAATTTTTTTTACAGTTTAAGTATCATTTATACTACTTATTCATATATGAATAACAAATTAACTGTAACAAAAATCTGATAAATGTTTTATTCATATATGAATATAAAATATGACGACAACTAATACACGTTTTATTCATATATAAATATAATATATGATTAAAAATGATGTAAAAAATATATTTTAAGTAGGAAAACTTTATTGCGTGTCATATTCATATATGAACGGTACTTAAACTATAAAAAAAGTTACGCATACGTTTTATTCATAAGTGAATAACGAATATACTGTAATAAAAATCTGATAGATTTTTTTATTCACTTATGAATAACGAGAGCTGAAACTCTAAAAAAAATAAATTTTTTTATTTTATCTTAAAAGTATATCAATATAGATGTCTATTTATAGAGAATAAAAAATTATGAATTTTGATATATTTAAAATAATTTTTCGATAATAATGGTTTTCTAAAAATAAAAAAAACGAAAAAAAAAATATGTTTTTGTGTATATTAAGGTAATGATTAGCATAGTTTAAGGAAACATGTTTTGTTGGAAAACATATGTTTATCCGTTATCCATTGCGGCAAAATAAATGTGTGGCTGAGAATGATTCCCCCATTCTCAACCTTTTTTTTTCTCAATTGAACCCTCATATATATATATATATATATATATATATATATATATATATATATATATATATATATATATATATATGTTTCCATTGAGATTTTTTTGGATATGATGAACGAGATTCGAATTTATTTCAAAACTCTCTTAAATCTTTCATTAAAAAGACCTATGAATTTTTTTATGCGTAATTCGTATCTCAGATCTGTTTCTCATTATATGTTTATATAGATACAAATATAATCGAATATGAGAGATATTATGGATTTAATAGAGTTTGAGTCAATTGGGAACTCAAGACACAAGATAAAAATATTAAATTTTTATCTTTCATTTAATAATAAAATTGATTCATCAACAATTTTAATTAATTTGTATAAGTAATCCAAATTTAATTATAACAATATACATTTAATTTAAATAGTATCTAACAAGTAAAACACTAATGTAATAATAATATATAGCACGACTACTATGATTTTATCAGAATCTATATATGTTATTTGTTTTATTGAAAGTTATTACTATCATTTATATAACTTTTTTTTTTATTAATTTTTCGAAACGAAAGATAACTCTGATATTAAAAAATTCGGATTTCTAGTATTGAATAAATATCAATATAAATATATATTTTTGAAAATAACATGATGAATCACATAAAAAAAATAGTAACAGATGGCTTCTTTAAGGGCAATAAAGTCTTCACAGGTACGAAAATCAGCCAATCAATATCATTGACAGAAGAAGGAAAAAGGGCAAGATTGTAATTACATCGATAACCCCATTCTTCATCTTCAACCTTCACTTAGTTATCAACTGCCCCAATAACCAAACCAGCCTATTTCCTGTTAAACGGTTACTTCAAAGAGCATCTTCACCTTCTTTAAATTCATCTAACAACTTTCTTTCTATATATATTTCGAAAATCTCATTTCTTTGTTTAATCATACCAAATTTTCTTTCACTTTTTCTAGAGCTGAAATGAAGAAGCAAAAATGTATCCAGGAAGATCCTGAAACCAAGATCAACCCTTTTGATTTTCTCTCAGAAGAAATCGTGTTTTCAATCTTAGACTACCTCATACCAAACCCATTTGATCGAAAATCATTCTCTTTAGTCTCAAAATCTTTCTACTCAATTGAATCTCGCCATCGGAAAACGTTAAAACCCTTCCCTCGTACCTCTAATGATCATCGTCATGATCAATTAAAAAAACTTCTAAAACGATACCCATTTGTTACCCATCTCGATCTTTCCCTCTGCCCTCGAATCACTGATGGTTGTTTGTCATACATCGCGAATTCTTGCGGAAAAGCCTTGAAATCCATCGATCTTTCTAGGTCTAGGTTCTTTACACAAGTGGGGCTCTCGTATTTGGTTTCAAACTGTGTTAATTTGGTGGATATCGATCTGTCAAACGGTGTACATTTGAATGACACTGCAGCTGCAGCTGTTGCTAGTTGCCGGAGTTTGGAGAGGCTGAGTTTGACTAGGTGCAAGTCGTTGACTGATATTGGAATTGGGTGTATTGCAGTTGGGTGTTCGAATTTAAGGGTTTTGAGCTTGAAATGGTGTTTGGGTGTTAGTGATTTAGGGGTGGCTTTGATTGGTGTCAAGTGTAAGAAGATTAGAAGCTTGGACCTTTCTCACTTGCTGGTATACAACAGTTCTCCTCTTTTCCATTTTTGGTAATAATTTTGATTAATTGTTTATTTTTCATCTTATTGTGTTATAACTTGTTTGATTATTTGATATGCTTGTTATCTTTCCTCCAATTCATGCACTTTGTGAAGTATTTGATAGTAGTTTTTTTTCTTTCTATTTTTAGTTGCTTTCAGGGTTTGTTTTTATCTTGTCGATTGGTTTCTTTACTTGTGGTTATTGAGTCAATATCATTTGCATTCTAACTTCAAAATTGATGATAACTATGAAAGTATATAAATAGGGTATTATGAAGACTAAGAAAATGTATGTCAAACTTAAAATTGGAAAATACAGGTTTGAATTTTTAAAAGTCTTATTTGGACATCTATCTTGTTCTAATTGAGGGGAAATCATGAGCTATTAGCTTATTAAAACCTTTAAGATTTTATTTCTATGTGAATAAACAAAACCGTATTAAATGTGATGATGTTATGTTAAAACATTGACATAAACCAATAAATGATGTGACATAGACCGGTATATGTTCACATGCTATGTTTTGTTACTTTAATGATGAAAATAAGAAAATGTTTTTTTTCATGGTCATGTCACTATTGTTGTCTATATTACTTATAATAGATTTTTGTCCGATCAAGAACACGTCTTGAATTGAAATTGCATTTTGTTTTATGATGTGTGACAAGAAACGACAATGCGTCTGTGGGTCCCATGTTCTAAAAAATTGATATGGGACCCACAAAGTGGAAAATGATAACTTGTGATTATGTGTCACAAAGTTGGTTCCTTGTGGGCCACTATGTACCTGATTTACATCTTACATGATGCTTTTCGAGCAGAGCAGTGTGGGCCAGCTGAAAGAATAACCTTTTTGCATAAACATATGATATTTTTTTTATAATGATTTGTGTTACTTTAATACAATATTGTTTTCTCATTCTTTCTTTTTTCATATTAATCTTTTATAGATCACGGAGAAATGCTTACCTTCACTTTTAAAGTTGGAATTTCTTGAAGATTTGATTTTGGAAGGATGTTGTGGAATCAATGATGAAAGTCTTGTATCCCTCAAACAAGGGTGGAAGTCACTCAAGGTATCCATTCTCAAGAAAAAGACTGAATATATATTTTTTCTTTTTGTATAAATCATTTAAGAAACTAATTCATAATTATGCTCTTGACAGACGTTGAATATGTCGTATTGTGATAATATCACACATGTGGGAGTTTCTTCATTAACAAGCAAAGCCAATTGTCTTCAAAACCTTAACTTATCATATGGGCCACTAGTAAGTCCTATATTCATTTATATTATTATCTTTAATCGAATGATTATCTAATTATGATTCTGATTATAAAAAATTACAATAATAAGATTTAATGAAGTAAGTAAGAAGTTGCCATAAGAAAACTGATTATTGAGATAAATGTAAAATTTGGCCTACAAGAATATCAACACTTGTATTAAACTATATGTCAAGTGAAATATTTGAGAAAAATGACGACATCCTTGGGACATGGAAGGGCAAATTTGTAAAATTTGGACTTAGACTATGTTTGGACTTTGGCGTACTAGCTGAAAAGCTAACTATTAACTGAAAAGCTAGCTGATAGCTGAAAAGCTAGCTGTTATATGAAAAGCTAGCTGTTATATGAAAAGCTAGCTGATAAAAAATGACGTTTGGTAAAACTAGCTGATAAGCTAAGCTAAAATATATAAAACTACATAAATAGGCATTCAAAAGAATATGTTTTTTATAATTAATTAAGGGTATATTTGGAAAATTTTTAAAAAAACTCCTAAAAAGCTAGTCTAAGTAGCTTTTTAAAATGCTAGCTTATAAGCTACTATTTGGCTTGCCAAACATGACAACTTAGAAAAGCTCGAAAAATAAGCTAGCTTATCAGCTAGCTGTGGTGCGCCAAACACAGTCTTAATCACTTAATGGGAAAGCCTTATTTTCTTGAATTTCTTTATTTAGTACTATTTCCGCATTAAGAAAAACTATAAACTAAAGAAAAATTCTTAACACATGATGTAATTTAGGTAACTCTTCCACTTTCTGAAAGTCTACAAAAGCTTTCTCAATTGCAATCAATTCGCTTAGATGGATGCCAAGTCACATGTTTGGGTCTCAAAGGCATTGGAAATTGGTGTGTATCACTTAAGGAGCTAAGCTTAAGTAAATGCTCGGGTGTTACAGAAGATGGGCTTTCATCAATTGTGAAGAAACACACGGATTTAAAAAAGTTAGACATCACATGTTGTAGAAAGATTACTCAAATTTCAATTGCCCATGTGACAAAATCTTGTGGGTCCCTTGTTTCTTTGAAGATGGAGTCGTGTACACTTGTTCCCTTTGAAGCTTTCTTTTTGATAGGGCAAAATTGTCATTTTCTTGAGGAGCTTGACCTTACTGATAATGACGTTGATGATGAAGGTATGGTTTTTCATCTTGTTAAGTAAAAAAGAAACACTCATAAGTCATATCGGATTTTGTATCCATGGCAATGGGCAAAATTGGAAATGTTGCAATTTTTATGAGACGTACAAAAATGGAAATGGTAAAAATGGTGTTTCTTTGTTTGTGTAGGCCTAAAGTTTATCTCAAAATGTTCTCAACTCTCTATCTTAAAGCTTGGAATATGTATGAATATAAGTGATGAGGGGCTTATTTATATTGGAAATGGATGCCCAAAACTTAAAGAGCTCGATTTATACAGGTTTGCAAAGAGAAACACTCATTTATATTTTACAAGTCTTGTTATCCATTAACTAAAAAAAAAAACAACACCTAACTTGTGAATATGTTTTTGCTTTTGTTGTTGTTTAGATCAATTGAAATCACAGATAGGGGGATTTCTTCTATTGCTCATGGTTGCCCTTCACTTGAAATCATAAACATTTCTTATTGTGAAAACATCACTGATAGCTCATTGATTTCATTGTCAAATTGTTCAAAGTTAAACACACTAGAATCCCGAGGATGCCCTCATATCACATCTTTAGGGCTCAAAGCCATTGCCATTAGATGCAAACAAATCTTAAAGCTAGACATCAAGAAATGTCACAATGTGAATGACTCAGGAATGATTCCACTTGCTCAATTTTCACATAACCTCAGACAGGTAAACCCTAAACCCTAAACCCTAATCAGACACAGTCTGCATACATACAATAAGTATGCATTTTGCATATTTGATGTACTTATTGGTTTTGATGTTTTTTTTATAGATAAATTTATCGTATAGCTCGGTGACAGATGTAGGGCTATTATACCTAGCTAGCTTAGGGTGTTTGCAGAGTATGACAATTCTTCACATGGAAGGGTTGACTCCAGTTGGACTTGCAGCTGCATTGTTTGGATGTGGAGGCCTAATGAAAGTGAAGCTTCAATCATCTTTTAGAACTCTGCTACCACGATTAGTTCTTGAGCATTTAGAAGCTCGTGGTTGTGTTTTTCATTGGAGAGATAAAGTCTTTCAGGTATATCTTTATGAATAAATCATGTTTAACAAAAAAAAAAAAAAGTAAAATCAAGATTATATGAAAATAATGGAGTTTTCTTTTCTTTGTGACTTTCAGGCTGAATTGGATCCGAAATGTTGGAAACTACAAGCAGAAGACATTGAATAGGCGTAATTTCCATTTCCATTTTATATCTAGTGTGTATGCATAAAAGCAAACTGCCTAGAAATGGTTTGGATTTCTGTATGATGATGGAAAATCATGGTTCTTTTCCATGCGGATGGATTGTACAAATGTAGTTTGATTCCTACAAGGTTAAGAGACTTGTATTAGCTTTCTATTTGACTTTTAATGATTTGTATTAGAGACAACTTGGTTTTGAAGTTGATATGTGGTAATGTAAATGAGTTGAGTATTGATGGTATTATAGTCCGTTTACAAAGTGGGGTGTTTCAATTGTTGTCATTAATCTATCAAATTCATTCAAAAGAATCATATGCAATAATATTGTTGGGTGTTGTGATCTTTGAACAAGCCATATAGGGATAACTGCATGAGTGGAGTGTTGTATATCAACTTTTTGTTGAGAAGGCACAAAGGTCATAGCATAAATACATTTTGAACGCTTAAAATGTCTACAAATGTTCATGAGTTGCAATTCATATCAGTTGAATATAGATGATTAAGTGTCACAAGCACATGCAAGCATAATATTTAGAGTAAATTACATGAATGGTCCCTATAGTGTGGGATAACTTTCACGCGTAGTCCTTTACTCTATTTTTTAACTCGGGTCATCCTTCATTTTAAAACTTGTTGCACTCTTAGTTTTTTTGTCATGTAGCTGTTAAAGTCTCCGTTGAAACACCCCACGTGCAAGGAACACATGGGTATTGTTGTCTTTTTCTTTTAAGAGAGTGCAAGCGCCATTTTTATAACTCGGAACATTTAAGAAGGCAAAACAACGATCATTCTTTCCGACAAGAAGCTCCACTCACACTCAACACACACAATTAGAGAAAACCTTAAAGTAGGCACCCTCAATCACAACTGTTAGGCATGGGTGCATGGCAACTTCGTGCGACCATGACTAAAGTCAACATTGGACATCGATATGGTAATCATTCGGTGGTTTTGTTGCTGATAATTTTGAATATACTATGTAATTATTCGAAATTAATTTCATGGTTTTGTTGATAATTTTGAATATATTACGTGATTGCTCAAAATTAAAGTCAATGTTTTTTCTTTTACAGCCGAACATCCAATGATTTTCTCCATTTTATTAAACCACGGTGGAGAGTTTATGAAGTTTAACTGAAAAAAAAATTCATCAAAGGGAAGCAAAATATTGCGGATTTAATGGGCATTGGTACTTTCTAAATTCATCGAAAGATCTTGTATGCCCAAGAGTAATTATAGAATGATATTGATAATAACATATAATCATATATAGAGTCACACCTTATAACATATTATCACTAATTGATTATTTATTAGAGTAATTTTGATTATTAATAAATATAATCAACACTTGTATTTAATTAGAAACTTATTATTTTACAAAAATAATATTTTACTAAATGGAAATATATTATTTGTGAAAATAATATTTATTGGAGAAATAACAATTTACGAAATATATCATAAAATAAGATTATTTATAAGCTATATTTATATCTCTTTAAACTAGTTAGAGTTTATTTATATATAAACGTGATTTATATAAAAAAGATAATTATAGTTTATAACTAGTTATATGTTTTATGCATATATAATAGAAATCAATTATGTAAATGCTAGCCTTATATATATATATATATATATATATATATATATATATATATATATATATATATATATATATACACACACACTTAACTAGTTATAAATAAGTAATGAACATCACTTTTTGTCCCCTTAAAGTTATTTTTGCGGGTTGCCCCATGACAGGGCTAGATTTCTTTTTTACTTTGTTTATTGATTTCACCATGCTTGAAATAAATCTTTCTCCTTTTTGCTTTATGGTCTTCCTTTTCCAAACATTGGAACATACATAAAATAAGGACTTGAAAGCATTTGGAGTTAGTTTTTCACTCACTTTTTCTCCTATTTTTCTCCCAAGAAAATCATGAGCATGAAGCGTTCTTCCCTTCCTTTTGGCCTTGCAATTTTGGTGTAAGATTCAAGCCTCAAATGTTGGTTCTCTTTAAGCATATTTTGGAATGTCTTAAAGCTCAAGAACAACTTTTTTACAAGTGTTTACTAGCATATTTTGGTGGATTAATTCTTTCTTTGGCGGATACTTCTAGTGAGCTTCTTCTTTGGAGCTTAAAGCCATATTCATCAACTTCCTAATTGTCAAAGTAACCAAAGTCTTCAAAGGTTGTTTTGCTTTCATTTCTATGGTTGTTTTAATCTTTCCAAGTTTTGAAAAATGATCTTTTGGTTAGAATAAAGCTAGTTTTATTTTGTTCAAAAGTAAAGTCTTCCGTTGCTATCTTTGTGTTTATGAAAAAATTCTAGAATAAAACTCAACAATTAGTATCAGAGCCATTTTTACAAGGTGTGCCTTTATATCAAAATAAAGATGAAATTTGTGATTACTATGAACTAGTGGTAGGATAGTGATGTTCCTAATCTCCTATGAATGAGACATACTTAATCATTTAAAGTTACATTCCGACTATGCAAGGTCGTTTCACCTTAACTTGGTAAGTGTTTCTAAAATGAAAGACTTAGGAATGAAAAGATACATTCTTGGAATGTAAAATCTGTAGAGATAGATAAAGATGAATGTTAAAAGATTTAAATTCTTTTACATGAATTAACAATATCTTGAAAGAGGTCAAGATACAAGATTCCTTGGAGGATTCTTGACATTGTCACATGACACCATTTTGAGATAGTCTCAAAAAGGACCTAGCACATAGGTTTGAGCTAGATGAAATGCTTTATATTTTATTTGCTTGGCAAATGAATCCATCATTTATGTCATATTATACACAAGACTAGGTATATGATTATGCTACAAACATATCATGAGATACTAATTCAATACATGGGTAAGTCACTGGATGATTTTGAAAACATTTAAAGAGTACTCAAGAAGAATTAAGAGACTTTATATGAGATAATCAGTTTAGAATAAGATCTCTGTGTAAAGAGCTACATGATATGTTAACTTCAAAATAGATATATACACTTATGAATTATAATATGATAATGACTTCATTATGAACTGAATTGTAAGTTATGTTAGAATGAGGTCCAAGAAAACCAAATTACACAATCTACTAAATAAGAACACATTGCTATTTCAGAAGTTGAAATTAATAATAATATTATTGGATGAACTTGATCATAGAAAAACTAGGTTGAATCCTTCCATTCATGGATAACCTAGAAATCTCTTGTGAGTTATAGAGTGTACTTAATCAAGCTAAGAAACTTTATGTCACATCAGAACACCAATCACATTCTCCATGATATTTAACTATACTTAGAGTAAAGTAAAATATGGAGATGATAGTATTCATCGAATTCACACAAATTAAATTTAGTCAGACACATTAATAAAGTCCTTCTTTTAAGCTAAGTATGAGTAGTCACACTCAACTATATGACTTCATTATTCTAGAAATAGGATTTTGATTTGAATTTAGTATTTAGATATTAGAACATTAAGAAAACAACTATTATATTGTTTTGATATATTAGGATATGATCATCACATCAATACTTGTTGTGTTCTATATTAATATGTTTAATCTATGAATAATCTAATTATTCTAAAAGTTCATATTCGATTATAATTGTGGGAGCAATTATGAAGTAAGACTATTATGAATTGGATTGGTTGACTCTCACTAGATGAAAGTACGCAAGTGGTTGTAACCAATTTTCATAGGTACTTGTAAGAAAACTAGTACTGAGCGGACACACATCAAGATCATATCATAGATCATAGTTACGAGTGATACTTGATTAAAAGGTACTATCTTTGTATCCTTAACACCTGAGATACATAGTGGGACTTATATGTAGGGAGTACTGTGTTTAGATATGGTCAAACATTGATCCTTAACCGCGTAGTTATAAAATCCATTTTCAGGTATGGTGTGAACTATGCAAGAGGCTTATGTAGTCAAGATTGGATTTGTTCCTCTTATATGTTGAGAGCTAGATATATAACGTGTGCTACCCAAAGTTGCAAACCAAATGAGATTGATTGTGATCCAAGTCACATGTTCAAGAAGATGTCTGTAACAAAGGGATAACTGATAAACTTACCATATACATCAATTGAAGCTTGGAGCTTTTGGGAATTTGATGTTGATGACTAACATTCTTTTTCATGTGTTATTGGGGGCAGTGAAATGTAGCTAGACGTTCACCCTGTCTATATCAATCTATGACGAGTCTTGTGTTAATGGGTGATTGAAATGTAGGGTCATGCCTTATAGAAAGTTACCATTAATTGATTATTTATTAGAGTAATTTTGATTATAATAAATATAATCAAAACTTTTATTTTATTGGAAAATTATTATTTTACGAAAATAATATTCTAATAATTGAGAATATATTATTTGTGAAAATAATATTTATTAGAGAAATAACAACTTATGAAATATATCATAAAGTATGATTATTGATAAGTTATATTTATATCTCATTAAACTAGTTAGAGTTTATTTAAATATAAATGTGATTTATATAAAAGATATAATTATATGTAAAACTAGTTATATGTTTTATGCATATATATATTAGAAATCAATTATATAGATGATAACCTTATATATATATATATATATATATATATATATATATATATATATATATATATAGTTATGAATAAAGTAATGAGCACATCACTTTTTGTCCCATTGACTTTATTTTCGTGGGTTGCCCCATGATGGGGCTAGATTGCTTGTTTACTTTGTTTATTGATTTCTCCATGCTTGAATGAAAGATTACTCCTTTTTTGCTTTTATGGTATTCATTTTCCAAATATTGAAACATGCATAGAATAAGGACTTGAGAGCATTTGGAGTTAGTTTTTCACTAACTTCTTCTCCTCTTTTTATCCCAAGAAAATCGTGAGCATGAAAGGTTCTTCCCTTCCTTTTGGTCTTGTAATTTTGGTGTAAGATTCAAGCCTCAAATGTTGCTTTTCTGTAAGCATATTTTGGAATATATCTTAAAGCTTTAGAACAACATTTTTACAAGTGTTTACTAGCATATTTTGGTGGATTAAGTCTTGCTTTGGTGGACACTTCTAGAGAGCTTCTTCTTTGGAGCTTAAAGCCATCTTCATCAACTTTCTAATTTCCAGTGGGACCAAAATCTTCAAAGGTTGTTTTGCTTTCCTTTCTGTGGTTGTTTTAATCGTTCTAAGTCTTGCAAAATGATCTTTTGGTGAGAATAAAACTACTTTTTTTGTTTA